TGATAAAGTTATTGTGATTAATTCGAAGGACTGAATTATATCGTCTAAGTTTTATTTCCAGCCCTCCGGCTAACAACACTCATAAAAAATAATTGATTAAGATGAATATTATGAACCAAAGAATTTTACTCATTTAATAAAGTTTCGTCGTAAAAAATGAGTTGAACTCTTTGTTGATTGGGCCTATGAATTAAAAATGAAATTATCGAATTTTCTTTTTAAACTTTAATTCAAGGATCAAGATTTTATTTTATTAATTAAATTGTCATAATTTTAACGTACATTTGCGGAAAAGACCTTCGCGAAGAAAATCAGAAAGGCTTGGAGCAGAATATCTTTCGAACTCCTCAAAACAATTTGATGATATTAAAGGAAATATGAACGGTCGCTACTTTTGCGTAAAGACGATAGAAATCAAGATAAAGATCAAAGTTTAACACTCCCTCGAATATCAAATTCATGTGATTTGTCTATAATATGACCAAATGAATTTATTACTGTAGAAATTAAAAGTTTACGAACATTAGTCGTGATTTCTTTAACAAGGAAGGTCTTAAATTTGTTAAATTAATGTCCGAAAATGGTAATTGGTTCAAGCCTGTAATTAAAAAAATCTTATTAAAATTATACACTTCACTGATTAGCTTTATTTTGCCAGAATAAGAATTAGATTAGATCGATTGTTGATATGGAACTGATATGTCATTTGTCATACTATCCAAAGATTTCATTTTATCAGGATCTCTTAATTCGTAATTAAGCCCTTCAGACGAATATTTGTAAAATATGGAAGAAATTTTAGGCCATTAATTCTGTCATGTTCATCGCATTCATCCATCTTTGCAAAATATTTAAGGTTAACATTCGTAGATGAACAAAATAATTTCATTTTCCTCTAAAGGGCTGTGAATTTTCAATGTAATTAAAAGAAATAAAATAATAAAATAATTAATATACTGGAAACAGAGAAATTAAAGCACCCGAAAAAATAAGCATTTAAGCTCTCCTAGAAAGTCTCGATTGGCTTTCATCTGAATTGAATAAGTTATTTAGCAGTTAGTAAAAAATTTAATGACAAATAAATCATTGTTGTATTTAATTTGTTCTTGCTTTGGCATTTGTGGTATACCAGCCGTTAACATTAATGAATTAAAGTTTGGCAAAATTATGTTGAATATGCTCATATATGGTGATTGCATCGATAGATACATATTATAAGCAAGTAGTAAAATGTCCAGGTTTGCACATAACCATGAACAGATTTGGTAAATATTTACCATATTGCGAAATGATCAAGCGTGAGCATTATGTAATATTTGAGAGGCCGAACGAATGTTATTATCGTTAATAAATAATGATGTATTTGAATGAAGTGAATTCGAACGAGGGGAGGAGTTATTAGAACTATTAGGACGACTCAAATGCAAATGAAAATATGGTTCACGTGATTCGTTTAAACTATTTAATGTGTTATTATGAATAATTTTAATATTCGCGTAGGATCTGATCATCTTATCATCCAATGTTTTATTATTTGTAATCAGCACAAGAGGTTCGCGTCTGATATTTACAACACTTTTATTAACCTGACTTTCTTCTAAAGAAAAAAAAAATGAGGAAAGTAAGAATAAGTTTTAATGATGTTACATCAACATACAGTTTTAAAATAATAAGTTACCTTCAAAAGATCATCTTCGTCGCTTATTTCCAGAAGTTTATTAACCAAAGTTGTTCTTTAATTGTAATGACAATTAACAAACTGTAGTGCCACCAGCTTCAAAAATCACTACTACTAAATGTAAGCAAAATAATAAGAAAGTTATCAGAAGGTCTGCCAACTTCATCTTCGTCAACTGGGATAATACTTTGTTTCTTCTTTTAACTTCAGTTACTTCTGAAAGGAGGCATAATAATAATAAGAAGCTTTACGAGTTGTAAAAATAAAAATAACTTAATTGTTCTTCTTAAATAATAAAAACAATTGAACTTTATTGTATATTAGTATATTATTGTATTATTAAATAGAATGTCAAATAAATAGACAAATTTGTCTTTATTAAATAAACGATAATTGAAGAAAAATAACAAATAAGTTGAATATAATAATAAATGAATCTAAATAATAAAATTATTGAAATAAATAAGTAAGATCAATATAAATGATATTTAATCAAATGTTTACTGCATAACACTAAGAAGCTAGTTTTATAAATAATCAACAATAATTAATTTTAATTGATATTTTTATTTTTTTTAATACATAAAAATAAACTTTCGATTCAAATATCAAAAGATTTTTTTTAAAATTCACGAATAGTTTTGTTTTTATTTTGAGAAATATTTCTAAGTCGATATGTTCCTATGTTTTCTGGAAAAGTACATAAGTACCAGTTAATATCTCCACGCAAACTGATGACTTGTAAAAGGATAATAACTAAGGTTACCGGAAGTACCGAGAATTATATCATCAGCAACAACGATTTTCTTGACTTCAGTCGCTGTAACAGATGGTAACAATATTATTGTATTCTATTGATAGGATTGGCGGGAGTAATTGTAAATGGGATTCTCCAAAATTTTAGAGCTAATGATGTAATTGTTCTTTCGACTGATAGGGAATTCTTAATTTAAATAACTTCTAACTCGAAACAACCCTAGATCAAATTATTTCTCCGAATTGGGCTTACTTTGTAAATCGAATGATGTCAACGGCTATGAGGAGTTCGGAACCAAGAACAAAATCACTTTATGAAAATATGATATACATATGGAAATCTTGAAGAAATGGATGCAGATAGCCCTATATTTCGACGTATTTGTAACTTGGGATGAAGTGCAGATATTATGCTATGATGCTATGCTTTTTTATTTTTTTATTGTTGCTTTTGTGAAATTCCAAAGTAAGTCCATCTTTAATCAGTATACACTAATAGATTTCAGTCACAAAAATACGAAATCATTAAGCAATATATATCTTCAGAGACAATTTTAATCCATAGGTGGATTGTGCGATCATATAAGGATAACATGGTTGATTGGTAAGTGAAAGAATGCATTTTGTGATTTATTTTCTTACTTGACTCCCGCAATAGGTTATGTATTAGTATTGTGAGCTATAAGCCTGTTATCGCATCGCATTTAATGTTTGTAGAATAACAGATCGGATATTATATACTGGAAGTAAAAAAAAAAAACAATTGTTATGGTTGAGACAATTATTTAAAGATGAGTATATACCAGTATATATAGGACTTTGCCGAATATTAGACCAATTCAAATAAAATATAGGGAAGCGTACATAGGTCGACCTCAACTATTTGGGCAGCGTCAATAATAAATATTTATAGGAAGGTATATAAAAATCTGAGCTTAGCATAATTGCAGTATGAAGCGCCGTCAGTCCCTGGCCTGTTAATAAACCGGATGATCACTCAAGATTCGAGATAAAAAATGTATTCTTACCCCGGCTGGTCTCATTTTCATTAGATGATAAATATCATGTTTTTTCAAACTTTATTTTTAAAATGTCCAACTAATTTTGACGCCGCCATTATATAAAGGTTGGTTTATTTTTTAAAAATAATATAAAAAGATTAATGGGTAAAATCTAAGACTATAATAAATTACAAGTAAAAATACGAAGAAATACAAAAAAATATTGAAAAATAAATTAAAAATAAAATATAAATTAAATAATCTTTTTGCCGACCAGCGGCAACAATTTTTAAATTATTAATAATGTTGTCCTCGCCTAACAACTCTATTGAAAATTTGGAGGTCACAGCGAACTCCTTAGTTGCCTCCGAGTAATGGCACACACCATGACACCGATTGTTGATTCAGGTTGTCTAGTTAGCACCCCTTTCATTTCACGTACTACGGAAGGACCTATAATCATACAACATTTATTAATTCTTACTCAAAAGTATAAAACAAAACATTAAAACATATTCGAATAAAACATACTTATTTTCTTCTTCCAGTTCTTGCATTGAATGACGAAGTTTATTTTGCGAACGGCCACTTTAATATCAATTCCTCCGTCATTGCGACCTCTGTATTTTATATAATAAAATAATAAAAATAATAAGATATC